GATAATAAAAAAACTCATTTTTTCGATTGCCACCTTCATTTTTCTCAGAAAACAGGCTTTCTTTAGCATAATAATCTCCGAGCCTATTACGATAAAGATGACATAAAATGACTCTGAAAATTTTGTTATAATACATCAATCGATAAATCTCGATGAGCCCTCTCTCGTGCTGTGCGATTCAATGGGTTTTATTGCCAGTGAAAGCTTCTTGTAGCTTAAAAAAACAATTGCAACGTGATAGGGTTACTAGACGTACATGACTAGATTTGTATCACCAAGCTCTATCGAATGGTTTACGAAAAAGTTAAATTTAGTGTGATTTTTCATGGGACATGAAGTGTTCAGTCTCACGGAATATTATGAGCTAAAAAACTCCCGCAGGACATTTTTCACGAACGACAAAATCTTTTGAGTCGTAATGTTGAGCATATGCTGTATATTGCAAAGGGAAAAAAGAGTAAAATAATCGCTGAGAAAAGTTGAGTATTAAAGGAGATATTAGAAAAATAAAATCGAAAATCTCATGGAACAATTAGTGTGAGTGAGAAGCTTGTTTTCGGAAAGAGCAATTATCATTCTTTTCAGTAAGAGAGCATTGGTCTTTTATATTTTTTTATAAAAATGATTCTCAATATGTGGACTATCTTTTGACTATTTTCGATAAAGATTGCATTTAGTTTTAGCTGAGATATGCGAGATTCAATCTCTTGGGACAGAAAAAGATCAAAGTGTCTGTAACAACATTATTTTGATTTAATTTATTTGCATAGAAAATTGAATTAAATCGTCAATTCATTTATATCTTTCGAGAAAATTAGTCTCCAGCTTCAAACTATTCGTAGGAAAAAGGATCAAAACTCATTCCGTCTCTAGAAAAAAATTCCACTTTTCAACGGTAGAGGGCACCAAAAACCTTGGCGTGCGACAATGCGACTGTGATATCGTAGTAACAAAAGCAGCTAAAAGAGCTGCTATCTTTAGTGATGGTAGGCACCCGTTAGACAAATAAAGTAAAAAAGAATTCAAAAAGATCTATTTGGTACAAAGAAATTATTGCATTCTTACTTCTCGAGTATCAACGGTACAATACCAGCGCACATTGCACATATGTGTAAAAACATTTTAATCGCGTGTAAACGAATTGGAAACAATACATATACACACGTCTGCCACTCAAAACAGAGAATTCGCATGGCATACGTAATCACATAATCACGTATAAAACAAATGTGCTAATAGTTTATACTAATGAACTAATTGGCTCACTAGTTGCCATTTGTAAAGAGTTTATTGTTCGTTGACACTCGTTAATATTTTATTCTCACACAACTTCAAGCGTTTACTCTTTTTCCACTCTTAATTACAAGAAAAATGACGTTCTGAGTGGAAGATCTCTGCACTGTTATCACAAGCTGCAAAAGTTTTCTACGGTATTATATGAGAAATGTCCACGCATCTCAACTTGCGTAGGAGATTATAATTAATACAGTGCGAAGTAAAACCGCATTCTAGTAATATTTTGTTCGACAAAAAAAGTGTGATTTTCTATAATGGTTATCTCGAAAACTATAAGTAATATTTCAAAACTTTAAACGCTTGTAGAGAGAGGAGTGGCTGAATTGTGTCTTTTCCCTTTTTGAGACTGTTTGTATATTTCGTTGCTCTGATTTACAACTCCAAAACAGGTAAGTCTTTTTAACGTTTAGGACTTGTAATTTTTTTTCAAAAAATATGATAATTAATCCGAGTCGTACATGTACACGCTGCGAACAATACTGTACACAATTTAACAAAAAAATTGAGTTCTCTGTTGCCGTATCCTTCATTCTCTTCGCACCGCATTCGCAACTCTCGCTAGCGTGATTGCCGTCTAGTTATTTATCAGGTCTGTGCGGAGGCATATTACATAATGCAGCAGCGCATGATTAGTTTTTCTAGATACGAAGATTTGAGGCTGCTTATTGAAACAACTATCAAGGTAGAACGTTTCGTTCGATTATCTGGAAAAGTATTTTAAGAAAATAAAGAGTTCTTTTATCAATGTCACAAAATCCTAAAGATATTCTATTTTCGTTACTAAACCCAAAAGACTGACATATAAACCCTTTTAGTATTTTAAAAAACCAAAAGATTTTTGTGAGAAAAGTGGACGGATTCATAAATACCAAAAATCCCTTGGATTTAGTTCTTGACTAGATGATTAATAAAGTAGCAAAAAGATTTTTCATTAATGCTGCTAAATCCCAAAGGTTTTCCGATTCAATTCATAAACCATTTTGATCAAGAACTAAATAATGTTTACTAAACCCAACGGTTTTTTGGTACTTATAAAATCCGTCTACTTTTCTACCGATGAAGCAAAATCTTTTCCTGCTTCTCATTTTACCGCACATAAAAAACGGAATATTGCTGTTTCAGAGAAAGCTTTCTTAGCTCAATTTTTCTCCCGTTATTATACCCATTTAGTCGTCGACTGAGTAAGCAAAAAGCGCAGTTTAAAAATGAATGTTTGATCTATTATATAACCTTCCATTTCTTCTTGAATTGACAACTATCTTCAAAAAGTAAAGTATCAGAAAGAGCTGAAAAGTCAATTCCTTTCCTTTCTCTATATAAGAATTGAATCGTTAAATGCCCAAATTATAAGCAAACATAATATTAACATATCATCATCACACTTCAATTTGTCATTTTCTTTCTGTTAGTCTTCTTCAAAAAACAAACGAAAAAAATTTTTTGTTGATATGTACACTTTTTGTCATTCACTCTTGATGATGACCCTTGAATAAAGGTCGAAAGCTCTGCCGCAGTGTCTTATTTCTTACTTAAACATAATATCATTTTAAATAGAAGGAACTATGCTCTAAAAAACAGATATTTCATTTGCAACTGAAATTTAAAAAGGTTTCCGTATATTTGCAGTTTCCTGAACCCTTTTTAGGCATTTTAAAATGCCTATTTTTTTAGAGAGTGAACTCGTTAAACTGGAATGTGTAGAAACTCATTAAAGGATGCCGCCGGTTTATTTTTTTTCATCCGTTCACCATCATATCATATGTGTAGATAGTATTCGTCAAGGCGCATCCAACTGTATGTGTTTTGAGTCTAGGAAATCGTTCTATCAAAAGTTATTTCAAAAATAAAATTTTGGGGAATTGTTTGGTACTTAGGGAAAAGATAGTGTTTTCTATCTTTCTCTTCTAACTGAATAAGAATATTTCTCTTTGAAAAGCAAGATAATTCTTTGCACATATAGATTCTAATCTGACGGTACCAGTTCATGAACGTACTTCGCTAAAAAATGATAAAAATGCCCAGAAAAGGTCTGTTCTGCTGGGTAATAGGATCCTCACAAGTCTAGAAGGTCACCCTGCCGTTGTTTTAAAAGCTTTTAAACATGATATTCGTCATCAGGAGCTCGAGTTGTATTAGTCCCATTACTCTCGAACTGCTGGGATAAAGTAGATGTAAACTCTACACTTTCGAAAGATCACCCATCTTGTACCGAAAGTCGTACGGAAAACTTTTTCATTTCTATGTTGAAAAATAATCCAATTCATTGAAAATGTAGAGGATGTCGAGCTCTAGAAACGTGACTACTTTAAAAGTTTTTTCATTTCATCGTTGAAATAAAAATTGCGGATGACGAGCAGAATTAATAGTATGAGTAATCCTAGAGCAGAAACTATAGGTTGCCAATGATCATCAAATCGATTTTCTGACTCAGTTTTCACAGATTATAAATATAACCTTAGTTTTGCAAAAGAATACTTTCCAAGTTAGAAAACTGGATTTTACGTAAATGTAAGGTAATTTGTACCTCTCACGCCCGATAATAGAAAAGTCATAACTCCTCTAGAGAAAAATATTTCTCTCTTGTATTCTCAGCATTTGTTGCTCAATGAAAAAAGATTACGTTCAGTCTCTTCCAGTCGATTTTTCGAAAAAAATAATTTGTTTCAAAACGTTCTTTTCTGATCAGAACATATATTTATGGGGGCACGATAATTTCAAAAATTCATCAGCTGCATCACTAACATTTCTGAAAGCTGTTTCTGAAATTATTCTGACTGATTAATAAAATATGAAACGGTACCTTTTTAGAAAAATTTTTTAAAGCTAGTCTACGGCCTTCATTCGCCGTCAAAATATGAACGACTAGTTTTAAACTTTCTTCGGAAAATAATGGTTTATTACAGCCCGTTTTGTTATTTAGAGTCGCGAAAAGTGCTTTTTCGTATTCACCAGACTCGATAAGGAGTATACTGCACTTTTTTTCTTCGTGGTGATATGGTGAGTGAACCTGTGCAGAAGTACTCATATTTCTCTTCAAAAGTTTCATATGGTGGTGCAATGATGATGACTCATCAATAAATCTGAGTAATGGAAATTGTGATGATAAACCTAACATAATGTTGACCGTGATGTTGATTCGCATCTTACTTTTTATGATGATTTTTGTTTTCTACTTAAAAAGCTGTACCAATGATAATTTACATTTTGTGTCAAAACATGCTCTCTCAATCTACAGAGAGTTGTTCGACACATTGACCAGAGAAGATTTTGATGCTTATTCTTCGCAAGATGCCGCCTGTACTGATAGAGCCATACCATTTTTCTACTTGTTCTGCAGCATTAGCGTTGATTGTGGTGCCATGTGTGTCACTACTGATTATCATGAGAGTTACATTGACTAAATTCTATGTTCTGAGTAATAGTGTTACAACACATTGTATATTGCGTTAATTCTTCGCTTAGTCACTATACCAACTCTATCGAGGCCATCAGTGATTCATTTATTGGTCACATTTGTTTACCGTTGTTGCTGTCGAAAAAAAACAAAGTCGAGAAAAGATTCTATTGTTAACCATTTTATATCTCTAATTTTTTCAATTCGTAGACCGTTCTGGTATAATAGCCAAGCTTCATTAGTTCCGTGATACCCATTCAAAGTACTATCTTTAAATGATAAGTTTATTATTTCAGAATAATTTATACTAATGAATAATTCTAACACTGTTTCAACACCGAAACTAACTAGTTCACCAAAACCATCTAATGCTTCCAATGGAAGTTTACCTTCAAAATCGTCGACGCCAACAACGAAGCTATCATCAACACCCACGTCGAATCATATAGTCAAAAGTCCAACAACTCCCACGTCACCCACAAAGTCTCCGGTCAAATTAACGCCAAATGCTCCAGTTAAAACAAATGGCACTACTATACCAGCCTCCAAACAATCAACAACAGAAAAAAAATCTGTACCATTCACGTCGAATAACGTCTCTGTGAAAAAAGAACCGATAGTTCCACCAAAAAGAAGAACTAAAATTCTTGAAAGTGATGAAGATAGTGATGATGATAAACCATTGGTAAGCGGGAAATTATGATTCTTTTTACTTTTCGTATGTTTTTGACATTTTATTTATTTTCTCCAAAAAGCAAATTCAAATAAAATGTCATTAACATACGAAATAACGTTTGATTATTTAATAAACGTCTTATTAAAAAAAAACTCTTTTATAGATGGTGAGAAATAAAAAAGAAAATCAGTAAACTTTTAAAATAGTCTTTTCCTATTCTCGTCTAGGCTAAAAAGATGGCAACAAATCCACCGCCAAAACCTACAGTGACTGTCAAAGTTGAACCAAAAGAGCCAAAATTATCCTCCGCTTCGAACCCAACAACACCAGTCCAACATAATGTTTCTGTGAAAAAAGAACCGACAACGTCACCACCCAAAAGAAAGAACACAACGATTGAAAGTGACGACGACGATGTACCTTTAGTAAGTTTTGACTGCGATTGAAATAAACTTTTCAACAGAAAACACAATTATTCTGAGTTATGCTAGCATTTAATTGCGCTAATTTTGTGTTACACTAAACAAATGTTGTTATGAAGCAGTATACAAATATTTTTTGGGATCTTTTCTAAAACAACTGTCGTTCACGATAAAATGGTTATATCATGACCCTTGATGCTAAAGATAACCTATAGTCTATACTATAAATCATAACCATATTTTTGTGATCTTCACCATACACCCATTAGGTATTGGTATTGTTAACTAACTATACTATAATCAAAGAGTACGAGAACAAGTATTAGGATCAGAAGTATGGAACAGTGATGATCATTAAATTGCATAGTGGTCTGTGAGGTGGCTTCGATCTGACTTTGACAGTTTATTAAACCACAGATCCCTTCTGTATTTTCTGTTAGATGTTAACAATGATTCATTGTTTCGAATACTCCTTCGATATATGCTTATTTTTGAATAGATTGAATAAGCGTTTTTCTTTTTCCAATTAGTCAAAAAAGATAAAACAACCCGAAAAAAGTCAAAAACTACCTAAAACTGAAAAGGTAACACCTGAAAAAGCCAAATCGTCCACAACTCCAAAATCATCAGCAGCATCACATAAGACATCCACTACAACATCTCAAAAAACATCTTCATCCTCATATTCAACAAAAACAACAACACCTACATTATCACCACAAAAAGGTGGAAAACGAAAAAAGAAAGAGGAGGAAGAAGATGTCTGGAGATGGTAAGAATATCTTTTAGTAATTTAACTTAAACTAAGTGCTTATTGTTCTTTTCTTCTAGGTGGGAAGAAGAAAAATATACAGATGGACGAAAATGGACAACGCTGGATCATCGTGGACCGGTCTTTGCACCGCCATACGAACCATTGCCAAATAATATTAAATTTTTGTATAATGGTATGTTGAGTTTATTTGATTGAGTAGTGTTTAGAAAGTATTGCACGTTAAAGTTGCTGGTTTTTTGCCCTTATAAAGGCAGTTGTTGAGCGAACAAATATTTCTGTCAATATTCACTTTAGAATTGTAAACGCTGTGTTCCGCCCATGTTTTTGAAGTGGAAAAATTAACAGTTTAATATCACTTTAAATTTTTTTTCAGGAGTCCATGTGAAATTAAGTGAACCAGCTGAGGAGATTATGACTTTCTACGCAAAAATGTTAGATCATGATTATACAAAAAAACAAACGTTCAATACAAATTTTATGACCGATTGGAGAAAATCAATGACACAAGCCGAACGTGAATTAATTAAAGATATTCGAAAATGCGATTTTATACAAGTATCTCAATATTTTAAAGAATTATCGGAACAACGAAAAGCCATGACAAAAGAAGATAAAAAAGCGATTAAAGAAGAAAATGAGAGGATGCGTAAAGTATATGGATTTTGTATGTGGGATAAACATCGTCAACCAATTGGTAATTATAAAATTGAACCACCCGGTCTATTTCGTGGACGTGGTGAACATCCAAAGATGGGCAGTGTTAAAAAGCGTATCGTGCCAGAAGATGTGATTATCAATTGTGGACGAGATTCACCAGCACCAAAACCACCAGAAGGTCATCGTTGGAAAGAAGTGAGACATGATAATAAAGTATCTTGGCTTGTGATGTGGACAGAAAATATTCGTGGAAATAATAAATATGTCATGTTAAATGCATCGTCTCGAGTTAAAGTAAATAATAATATTTTTTTCAAATTTGCTTGTTTTATCATCAGATTTTTATTCGAAAAATAGGGCGAGCGTGATTGGCAAAAGTATGAAAAAGCACGAAAATTACATCGTGTGATTGATAAAATAAGATTAAATTATCAAACCGATTGGAAAAGTAAAGAGATGCGTATTCGTCAACGTGCTGTTGCATTGTATTTTATTGATAAGGTAAGAAGAAGTCACCTACATATCTTTCAGGCAATGAGGCTCAAAAGAAAGTGTAATAAAAGATCATGTGAAAGAAAAGAGAACATACATTTCGTACAGAGCTTGTTCTGATTTTGAGAAAATACATTATGTTTAGTCTAAGTAGTGTGCACCAACAAACTTGGTATTTGTTAAACTTCTATCTCAACTGATCGTTCACAAAAAAAAGGACCTCTGTCTGTCATTATATATCTGTTTTTTAGCTTGCACTTCGAGCTGGTAATGAAAAAGATGATGATGAAGCTGACACAGTTGGCTGTTGTTCGTTAAGAGTTGAACACATAACATTGCATGATCGTGTCAGTGGTATAGGTGATAATGTTGTTGAATTTGATTTCTTGGGCAAAGATAGTATGAGGTATTACTGACTTTGATCAATTTTTGAACTATTTTATCAATTTTGCTACTCCTTTTAGGTATAATAATAAAGTGTCAGTTGAGCCACGTGTTTATAAAAATTTAAAATTATTTATTGAAAATAAAGAAGAAAATGATGAATTATTTGATCGTTTAACGGTAGGGTGGTTTCTATTTTTACGTAACTTGTTATAAGATAAATCAATGTTATTCTCTTTTATTTGTTTAGACCACAAGTCTAAATCAATATTTAAGTGATTTAATGGAAGGTCTTACAGCTAAAGTATTTCGTACATATAATGCATCGAAAACATTACAAAATCAATTGGATAATTTAACTGAGCCAAAAGCATCAATACCAGAAAAAATTCTTGCTTATAATCGAGCGAATCGACAGGTTGCCATATTATGTAATCATCAACGTTCTGTACCAAAAACATTTGAAAAAAGTATGGTGACATTAAAAGCAAAAGTAAGTGACATGATTTACGTTTTATCTATTAGATGTTCTATTCTGTGTCATTTTAGATTGATGCAAAAAAAAGCGAAAATGATGAAAACAAAGCGGAATTTAAACGTGCAAAATCTGATTATAAAAATGCGAAAAATCAAGCATCTCAAAAGTATGTCTGATAAGTAACAGTTGAGAAGATAGGTTTTCTTTTTTCTATATCTTATTTGTTTGGAATAGTAATTCATAATTGTTTTTTGTCTTGTCCATAAATATGGATCTCATCTACTAAGATCTCTATCTTCTAAATGAATCAAGATTTTAGACTATTGTTATACATAATTTGTTTTATTTAACAGACGATTGGAACAAGCAGAGAAAAAAGTTCAACGTTCTGAAGAAGCATTGAAAAAATTAGAAGTTCAAGCACTTGATCGTGAAGAAAATAAAGATATTGCACTTGGTACATCTAAATTAAATTATCTAGATCCACGTATTAGTGTAGCATGGTATGTACAAGTGAAACATTCAGAACTACTATATGCTATCTTTTTTGCTTTTTGAAGGTGTAAAAAATGGGCTGTACCCATTGAAAAAATATATTCCAAAACACAACGTGATAAATTTCGATGGGCAATCGATATGGCTACGGCTGACTTTCATTTTTACAATTATGAAGGTGAAATTGTATTACGAAATATTGATGATACAGCACAAGAGGAAGATGAATCATCACCCCAAGGACAATCAGATGATGAAGAATGATGATCATCGTTCATCATGTTTATTTTATGGGTTTGCGGAAAAAGTAAAAGAGGAAGAGCAACAAACGAATCCGTTTACACATTGTTGCTGTTTTTCTTATTATTATATATAATATTTCTTCATTTCTTGTTTTATGTGAATAAAAAAACGCTCCGTCTTTGTTTTTGTGTCCGTTATTCTTCTTTTGTTTATTCTGTCTTTTTTTTCCTATTCTTTGAATGTGTGTATGTGTATGCATTCTCTATGCTTGCAATGCACGCTTGTGTAATAAAAATGTGCTCGTTTTGAAAATAGATATGACGTAAAAAAATTGTATTCGTCACCTTTAGTTTGTCTTTATTTATTGGAATGAGTTAGGAGACTATAAGTCATTTCTTAGCTTTCTTTTCTTTTTTTTTTCTTGTTTTCATTTGCTGCCATAATGTTGGCTTTGAGACGTTCTCTTTCGAGACGCATGTTGTTTTCATCAAAAATTAGCGTGCGATCGTTTCTTCTTGAACCTATGCTAAGTGTTATCAATCCGATATTTTATGGGAAGAAAGCTGTTAAATGTTGATTTTCTTGCACTATTTCTTCATCTCCAATTTCCCTCTTTCTTGCTTAATACAATAGTAATAATAACAACTTTTGTCAGCATTCTCTCCGGCTATTTCTTTCTTTTGTTGTTACTCGTATAGCAAGACACACATCCATCAGACACGTTTGTTTCCTATTTCTCACTTGCGCACATAATTTGTCACTAGGCAATTTTTTCTTCTTTCATTTCGCGTCTTTTTTTTGAACAATCTCATCCTACGCGTAGATGTATAGAGCGTTTTTTCGTTAGGATTGCCAACTTTTTCGATTTTTGAGATCATTTTTCGAATAGTTTTGGTTTTTTGATGATCTCTCCTTTCTGTTAGACAGCATAAAAAAAGACTTTTTATAAGTAGTTCGATGCGATTCTTTAAACAAAAAAAAGCCAATAACCTTTAACGGCGGCGCGTAAGTGTTGTTTTTCAGCGGTGAACACTTTGAATAGCGTTAAAAGATGCATTTGTGTGTCAATACTAAATCAGTGCACACTCATGGCTATTTGAATTTGTTTATAGTTCACTGCGTTTAGATATTTTAGATTTTCAGCCATATATAATTGATCACTGAAGTCAAACTTTAAAATACTTTGTATTCTTCAATTTATGTTGGATTTCTATGTCCTTCCGATTTTGAGCGCTTTCATTCCGATCTAAGAGTCATTTTGAGTTGGCAACTCTGTGTTCACATGAATTTGTTGTTGTTGCTTTTTTCATTACTCATCATGAAGACGACGACATGAAGCAAATAAGTAGTATGTTGGAGAGATAAAAACTTACAACATTTTTTTTTGTTGTTATGGTGGTTTACTTTTTTCTTGACATTTTTTGTCTGTCGTTACTTTCTTTTTTTTGTATTTGTGTGAAAATCTGCTTGTGTATAAACGTGCATGAAAGTCACACATTAGATGTTATGGATGATCTATATGTCTGTTTGCTTTTTTTTTTGAAATAGTTATCCGGAAAAAAAGATACCAGACAATCATGAATCTATGAATATGAAGACGGCGATTTCAAAACAATTTACACTAGTTAAAATAATTAAAAGCAGCTGGCGAGTATCAGAGCCCAGAACGAATCAAATAATTCGGCATTCAATTCGATTCAGTTTAACATTTAACCGAACCGAATTTAACTGAAGGATCGTTCGATCGAATCGAAAGCTCTAGTCACAAAAATACCAGGTTTGCTCAAGTGTTCTAACTTGAGAGAGTAAATTCTGAATAGACGTTTCAAACAAAAAAGAGAATAAAGCTTCTATTTTGATTGAATTAAGTCGAAACGAACAGAATCACATTGTCCTGGTTCATTTTGGGCTCTGGCAAATACATAACTTGAAAGCGAGAAAACTTTTCTTGAACAATCTCACGATTCGTAAAACAATAATATTTTGTCCAGTAGTAGTGATGAGAAGCGCTAGGATATACCATAAACGTCAAGGTGGAAAATTGGAAAGCAAAGTTCTTTTAAAAACTGCTTACATACTGAATGGATAATCTGATCACGTCTAGCACAAAATGAAACTGACATTAGCTGCTTATAAAGAAAACAACTTTATCACTAATTATTAACTGCTTAATTTTGATTGCAAGATATGTGTAATTATGGCACAAGTTTGCTCAATTGTCAGTCATCAGTAACATCTGCCAAAAAAAGGCCTTAAACCGATCAATTTTCTTCCTGTGTGCAAACCTTTCTGTGAGAAAATATCGGTGTCTCCGTCCATAACGTAGTGAGCAACACAATAATTGAATTGCATTTCTTTGCTTATATGATCTATTAGACAATCAGTTGCAAAAATCATGTAAGATTATGAAAAGTCTTCTAGTTAAATCATGTAACTAATAGAGATGGAGATAGTTAACTCCAGACTAGATTGTAGAGAGCACTGAAACTACAAATTCATTAGAGTTTCACGCTTCTTTCAAACACAGTAATGACCGAAAGTGTCCCAACCTCTGTAACTCCTGAATCGTGAAATTTAGTGACTTCAAATCTTGTTGAATATTGGACCACTCATGTTGATCATTCTACTAGTACAGGTTCCTTTTATTGGATGATGTTTATTAAAATCTTAATAAACCATGGTCCAAGCATGATGAGTACTCTATCTTGACCCTAAAATGTAGTCATGACCTTCTTCTATCTACACTCGAAAAAAATATGCGACTTCGCTCATGTGTAGCGAGAAAAAGTGCACTTAAAAGACGTGTCTTTTAAATGCCTAGATTGCGTCTTTCATAAATCTTCAGTATGTTTAGGGGTAGACACATGGAAGTCACACTGTAGTCGCATGGATAACGTTTGAACAAGAAAGGCGCTTAGTCACATCCTCATTGAAAATATCGTAATATTGTAAATTCAATTTTTACCACATATAGAAGTGATTGCGAACCCTATAATATTAATGTTGTGTTAATATTAATGTGTTATCACATGTGATAGTTGTTTTCAGAACAAAAAAGGTCATTTAAGTTCTGTAAGTTCTCATGATCATACTTTTGCATTTTAACTATAATTCTGATGTACACTAATGACAGGATATAGCAGAACGACGGGGGAGTCCCTCATTTAGATTTTTCTCTAACGTTCCCAGTTTGTAGAGGACACTTCGAAGTATATGTTCTGAAGTTTTTTCGGCTTACTGACATTATTTGGCTGAGAAAAAAATTAATTACTTAAAAAAATATTGTTAAATTTTTGAACAAGGGATTATTATTAAAAAAATTCCTGCCCAACCTCCATTCATCACAAAAACTTGGTTCTTACCTAGATCGATAGAGAAATGTGTGGAGAATATTTCTTACGAGAAAATATGCAAGAATTTTTTTCCTTTCCTTCCTAGTATTGACTAATTAGTACTAATTAACGTTAATTTAGCCTACTCTACTAGCATAAAGTCTTATTTGTAAAATAGCAACGCAACGAAAAAATACAAGAAGACAAGTATATTCTTGTAATATCGGACTAGATTTTATTATGGAAAAATTTGTATGTGAAAATGGTGTGATAATAAACATTGATTTTTTTTCTTTGTTTCATTATGTGTATCTTGCATCTCTGTGATTTTGTAATTCTTTATTTTATACATTTTTATAATGAATTGAACCATTATATTTGATCAGAAAAAATAAATAAATGTTGCGAAACAAACAATATATCCTTTTGTCTAATTTTGTAGCAGAAAATAGGCGATGTCACTGTAATACGCTTTCTTCACACAGTGGGCATTTTTTGCTAGAGCAAGCGGACTTTAGCTTTATGAGTGAACTAAAATTTCATGAACCATCTTTTTATAGGTTTTTCATGATCCTCTTTCTAATGGCATGAGAGTTGGGTTTTAA